AAAAAAAAATACTTTACTGTCTGTTAATTGGATAGTTATTAACTATTTAAGGAGAAGGACCTCAGCTTATCTTTTATTAAAGACTAAAGAGGTAGATTTGTTTCTGCGAAACCTATATAAGTAGGTAATTCAAACTACATCATAGCAGGTACAGAACTGTGATCTCAGGCAACTCTTATTTCAATATTTACTTGTAAATATGAAATAAATTTGCATATATCGGGGGATCGTGATGATTTTATCGGTGAGTATTCGCACTCGGAAGGGCAATGATGAATATTGAATAATCGGACATAGTACGATAAGGTTGTACATTATACAACAGCCTAAGTCGAAGTGAACCTTCGGCTTAAAACCATCAAATTGCGGGAAAGCCCTAAAGCAATTTCAACCAAGCAAACGTGGTAACACTGTTTGTGGCACAGGTAATGACTCGTGGTATGGTAAAATCGAAATTGATACACGTGAGTGAATGGGTAATCCGCAGCCAACCACCTCATACTTTTAGGTAGAGGTGTGCAGTTCATCGACTAGATGTTGGTTGACTTTTTTTACGGTGGGGGGGGGCGAGCAAAAAATTTTGCTTTGCCAAGCTTCGCCCAAAAATTAGTTTAAGATATAGTCAAGCCTCATTCGAAAGAATGCAATGGCAATAAAGTAATTTAAATTTAATTTCAAAATATAAAAAAGAAATAAAAAAAAAAATTGCTTTTGTTTCAGGTAATTAACTGAAACAGGGGTTAAAGCCCATTGTCTAAATGGATAGTATGTGAACTATTCAGGGAGAAGGACCTCAAGAGCCTTTATGAAAATAAAGATTAATGAGGTAGATCTGTGTATGTCTAAAGGGAAACAGCCCAGAACAAGAGTTAAGGTTCCAAAATTATTGTTAAGTGAAATTAAGGAAGTTACTATCTAATACGACCAGGAAATTGACTTAGAAGCGGCTCACTTTTTAAAGACCTCGTAACAGAGCACTGGTTTAGTAATTATTTAATTACTTTGATAGTTGCACCGAAAATTTAACGGATCTAAACAATATACCGACACCTTGTCCATTTAATATTCTATTGAAATAGTATATTTAATGGGGTAGCAGAACGTTGGGTAAATCTAGACTATTCTTTTTAAGAACATTAGTTGTATAGAGATTCCATAATTTAGCAGAACAAACCGAGTTGAAGTCATTATGGATAGTTATTAATTTTAGCTGTTCAACGAAGATTCAAGGGAGTTGGTTAAATTTAAATGGGTTTCTTTAATGATAACCCAAGTGAGAATGCTGACATGAGTAACGAAAAGGGGGGCATGACCTCCCCGCCTAAAGCTTATGGTTTTTATAAAGTAACGGCCTCTAAGTTACTAATCTAAGGGTTGGAACGATGAGTAAAACTTGGTTACAAAGTAACAACCGATGGCATAATAGTGAATAAGGTTCTGGAAAACCGTAAGGTAGTTATAACATTAGGGTTTATTTATTAATATTATGCCAATAACTCTAAGTCTAAACTAGACTATAAACCCAAAGCTTTTAAGTATTAGAAATAAGATCTTAAAATCTTTGGGTTTATAGTCTAGTTTAGACTATAAAAAAGCTTTTAAGTATTAGAAATAAGATCTTAAAATCTTCTAAAATAGGCTTTTTAGTCTAGTTTAGACTATAAAAAAGCTTTTAAGTATTAGAAATAATATCTTAAACGCCACTTAAAAAAGAACAGGCTATATTAGCTTAATAATAAAAATATGTTTGTAATAATTACTGGACTTCGTAAAGGTACCTACAGTGAACGGGGGAACTGGGGCAACATACGAGGGCTCCTACAACCGTACCTAAAAACTACCACAAGTAAGCTAGTAGAGAATACGAAGGCGTTTGAGTGAACAATCATTAAGGAACTCGGCAAACTAACTACCGTAACTTCGGGATAAGGAGAGCCATTCCTCCTAATTAATATTAGGTAAAGAATAGGAAGCATGGAATAGTGTTGTACGACTGTTTAATTAAAACAAAGCACTCTGCGGTAAGATAATAAATCAAAGTATTGAGTGTGATTTCTGCCCGATGTCGGCTGGTTAACGGATTTTCTAAGTTGACTAATATAAGCTTGGTTTTGAAGGAAACCCCGATCAATGGCGGCCTTACCTGCTTTGAGATGTAGGATATCTCATGCGTGGGTCAAACTATCAAACTCCGGGGAAGTCCTAAAGCTTCTGGTACTAAGCCATATATGAAAATATATGAGTGGCTGAACTAATTACTCAGGTATAGTAACAAGTCAGAAGATGATCGAAAGAGAAATGGGTAATCGCGGATCTAAATCAGCAACAGGTTTAAATATACCTACAAGCCAAATAAAGCCTGGTGCTGTAAAAGAGCAACGAGTAGACGGTAGTTACGCTAATATTTTAGCGTTAAGGTGTACTCTAATGGGCTTCGAAAGAAGTTATCAAATAAAAGTCCTTTCTAATCAAAAAAGACTTTATACTAGTTCTCAACATAACGAGTTAAACCCTTGATTTATCACCGGGTTTGCTGATGCGGAATCTACTTTTAATATATTTGTTCAACCGCGTTCTGACAGTAAAACCAAGTGAAGAGTAAAAGCTATATTTGCTATTGGTCTTCATATAAAAGATTTAGTAATATTAGAAAATATTCAAGCTTGATTTGGAGTTGGACGTATATATAAAACAGTTGGAAAAGTTTATTATAGAATAGAAACATTTAAAGATTTACAAGTTATAATAGATCATTTTAACCAATATCCTTTAGTAACTGCTAAGAAATTAGATTATGATTTATTCAAAAAAAGTTTTAATATTATAAAACATAATCAACATCTGACTGAACAAGGTATATCCAAAATAATTGAACTTAAAAGTTCACTTAATAAGGGATTATCTGAAAACCTAAAAGAGAGTTTCAGTAAGATAAATTTACTTGAAAGAGTATAATTTAAATTCGATGGAATACCTAGTCCTTATTGAATAGCCGGGTTTGTAAGTGGAGATGGTAGTTTTAATATAAAGGCTACAAAAGTCCGTACAGGGAAAATACAATTAAGATTTGCGGTTAATTTACATATTAGGGAACAAGAGGTAATCAAAGGATTAGCTAAGTTCTTTAATTTTAAAGATAATAGTTATATTTATTCTACTGATACTTCAGTAGCAATTCAAATTGTAAATACCTCGGATGTCTTAAATATTATAATACCGTTCTTTGATAAATATAAAATCAAAGGAGCAAAAGAATTAGATTTCACAGATTTTAAAAAAGCCGCTGAAATTGTTAAACATAAAGGCCATTTAACTGAAGATGGTTTAAACCAAATTTTAGTAATTAAAGATAATATGAACTTAAAAAGAAAGTAATAGAACGCTGTTTTGCTGTCTATTAAAGGCGAGATCAGCTTGCCTGATATAGGCGAAAAAATAAGTATAAAGAATTTTTTGTATGATAAATTTTATCAGCTATGATGAGGGTCCTAAGGTAGCGGAATACCCTGGCCGTTAAATGCGGTCTTGCATGAATAGAAATCCGCCTCAAATCTATTCCTAATTTAACTGAGGCATTATAACGATATTAATAATAACTTAAAAGAATGTGCCCTGCTTAGTAACCGGTACACGTGCGACTTCATACCTATAGATGTATGAGATGTGGTTATCATCTTAGAAAAAGGGAACTATCCGAAAAGCTACTTAAAAATCCTATTTTGAAACAGGTAGGAGAGGAAACTTGGTGCTAAAACATGACGCATCTGAACTAAGTAGAAAATAACTATGGACCTAAATGTCAAAAGCGTTGAATTTTTTTAAGTAAGACGCACACGAGTGAACTCTAAGGTAACCCCTATTAAGTTTATTATTATTATTCTCCTCTTAGCATTATAACCCGTGGAAGCAGAGGAGGGGGAATGTGGGCAAAACAAAAATATAAAAAAAACAAAAAACATGAAAAATCCAAAATCGATAACCAAATTAAATAGATGCTTCTCCAGTTGACCATCAATATTAGGCAGAGATGGACCTATGTCTAATGCGTATCGTTTAGCTATTCAATATATTAATGAAAGTAGACCTATAACAGCGGTTGAAATTAATAAAGTTTTAGCTTTTTCTGGTATTAGTATTAGTCAGGACATGTTAAATAAAATACTTATTAGACCTAGATTAGATTTTTCCAATCTAGACTCAAATACTATAAAAACAGAAAAATTCTTAGAAACAATAGGTACAGTAAGAGGTAAGGTTCAAGTACCTGGTGTTTACATTTGAACACATTTAGTTACAGGTGACATGTATGTGGGATCATCTTCTAAATTAGCTCGTAGATTAATTGGTTATTTTAATAATAACCATAAAGATACGGGTAAGTTAATACCTTTAATTAAAAAAGAAGGTGTGGGTGCTTTTAGATTACAAGTTATACCTTTAACGGAGTCTTATCAAGTGAATCAAGAACTTTGTTTAGAACAATACTTCTTGTTGCAACCTAAGTTTAATCTTAACACACTTAGAGTAGTTAACGATTATTCTGGTGCAAGAGCCATACCTTTATACATGTACACTAAAGACTTGTCAGAACTGATTTACTCTTCAAACATCCAAGAGGACTTTATATTTAAATTAAAAGTACATCATAGTATCTTTAGCAACAGCTTAAAAACAGGTGCAGTTTACTTAGGTAAATATGTATTCACAGATAAGCCTATTATTGGAGCTAAAGAAAGCAATATGTCAGAAACAGATATAAATTTCATGTTAGATAAAGATAGATTGGAAATACAAAAAAGTAATAGTAGAAAGGTAATTATAAAAGGTATTGAAGGAAATAGGGAAACTATGCTGTTTGATAGTATAAGTAATTGTATAACTTTTCTTAACAAAATAGCACCGTCTAATAAAACAACATTATGTAGACATATTGAATCAGGAAAACCTTATAACGGTTACCTGTGTCAATGGGATACTGTAATTAATGTTACTAGTTCTATTAAGGACAAAAGTATAGAAATCCAAGTAACTCATGTACCATCTGGTTCAACAGCTACATACCCTTCTTTTAGAAAGGCAGCTTTATCTTTTGCACCAGATTTTATAACTACTGGACAAACTCTTAAAGCTTTTTGTGGCTCCTTCGGTCAGCCAAAGAAAATGGTAAACTTTTTTTTTTTTAGGGAGAGTTTAAAATAAGTATCTTAAAGGATAAGCAGTAATTGCCCTTTATTAAACTTATTGTTTATATTTTATCATTTATTAAGGGATACGTCCCTTTTAGTGATAAGCACACAAAATTTATGTCAGCCTAAATAGGAATAGAAAAATCGAGCCTAGGAAACTGGATTTTTGTGCAATAAAGAGGCAAACTCCGGGGACACCCTAAAGCTTCTGGTACCAAGCAGTAGTTGAAAAACTATTTGTGGCTGAATTAATCCTTCAGGCTTTTGTTAGGTTATTCTACCCTTCGGGTTCTGAATAACCTAAACAATAAGGTAACAAGTCAGAAGATGAGTGAAAACGAAATGGGTTATCGCGGATCTAAGTCAGATAATATATCTGTAAAAGAGCAACGAGCGGATGCTTCTTCTGAGATTATACTTAAAAATAAGTATTAATCTCAGTAAGGTGCGCTCTAGTCGCCACGAAAGTGGTTCTTAAGCCAAATATAAGTAATTTAAGATTAAAGATATCATAATAACCTAACCTAAAGATAATATCTACGGTAAAATTATGAAACGGAATGATTTAACGATACAACAGCTGTCTCAATGATTGGCTCAGTGAAATTGGAATAACTGTGCAGATACAGTTTACCTCTAGATAGACGAGAGTGCGACTAGCTAAGTGCTGGTTAACAATGTGGTGAAAGCCCACCAAATAACCCATTATTTGAGCTCATACGGCATGCATTTGAAGTAATTCTTTTGTGTGAAGCCCGTTAAATTAACAGTAATTTATTACTGTCCAACCTATCCATCCAAACTCGAGCTATGGGTGATCAAATAGGCTGGTGAGCTAGACTACTAAGGATAGTTAACGCGAATTCACGGTATAAGCGTATATCTAGGTTTTGAGAAAAAAAATTAGTTGATTGTAAAAAAGAGTTCTCGATCTTTTTTTTATGGGTCTAATATCAACATACGTATAGTGAAATCCTAAGGTAGTCATTAAGGTGTTATCCAGTAAACTAGGTAAGCCCAATATTGCCCATCCCTTTTTTCAAAATCAATACTGATCTTGAAGTAAAATAAGGTGGAAGTTTAATCGCAAGGTTAAATATACAGTAGTGGGTAAAGGATGCTTTAAAAAGCAAATGTCATCCGGTAATAGGGTGAATAGGATTTACAAAAAACTACAAGTAAATTTTTTTATTTATAGTTAGTAGTAATAATCTAATTCGAAAGAATGCTGACTTAAAGCAGGCGTTAAGTAATTTATATATATATTAAGAGAACATAAATAATAATAAGAACATAGTAAAAAGAGGCCATATGATATACTACTAGGTGAAAAGGGTGGACTTGGAAATTACTTTTTATTATTGTTTTAATTATTCGTTATCTATATTCTCAAGAAAAAAAAACATGAAAAATTTAAAATACATAAAAACTTTAAACTTTACTACAAGTAGTAAAGCTAATGCTCCGTTGCAAGCAAGAGATTTAAGACTAGGAAATCCTGAGTTGAAACTTAGTCCTCTATGAGTGACTGGTATTACAGACTCTGAGGGGAATTTTTCCGTTTTAGCGCAAAAAATGGAAAGCGGTCATAAATTTTCTTTAGCTTTTAAAGTAACACAAAAAGAACACTCTAAAGGAATATTGCTGGATTTACAAAGATTTTTCGGATGTGGTAATATCTATATAGATAACAAGAAAGAAAATGCTTATAAATTTAGTATTAATAAATTAGATGATGTTATTAATAACGTTATACCTCATTTTGATAAATACCCTTTATTAACGTCTAAAAATCTAGATTATTTAGATTTTAAAAAAGCAGCTTTATTGATTAAGGATAAATTACACTTAAATGAGGAAGGTTCTAAAAACATTATATTAATTAAAAACAATATGAATAGTATGCGATCTTTCGAAGATAGATGGAATTATCTTAACAATCTATCACATATCAAATTAAGCAATGAATGGGTTCAAGCTTTCATAGATGGTGAAGGAAGTTTTCAGTTTGGTATTGCTAATGCTGTGAGTAGAGGTAAACCATATATAGCGTTGACTCCTACTCTAGAAATAGCTCAAAGTAACCATGATGTTAGGCTTTTACAAGCTTTTGTTCAATTCTTTGGCTTTGGCTATATAAAACCTAAATATGATTTTAGTGATATAGAGGCTGCAAAAAATTCTAGAATTGTTAATAGATTTGTTGTAAATCAACATAAAGTAGTAACAGAGTTTTTTGATAAGTATCCTTTATATACTCGTAAGCATTTAGATTATTTAGACTGAAAAAGATTAATCGAATTAAAGGCATTGAGAGCACAAGATACTCCAGAAGGTTTGATGATGATGCAAAAATTAAAAGCATCCATGAATAAGGGCAGAAGTTAAATTTTATCTTTCTGTTTCCCGTTATACTTATCAAGATAGGTATAACGTAATTTTAAAAATTAATATATATATAAATACTAGATTTAATGCTCGAGCCGTATGCGATGAAAGTTGCACGTACGGTTCCACGAGGGGGAGATCTTAGTAATAAGACGACCTATCTCTACAGACCCTATGCAGCTTTACTGTTACTAGTTATTGGATATGATATTGTACGATTTTTAGAGATAAGGTAGAATAGTATTAGAGGTCCAAAATTGAAACACCTTTATTTACATAATCATATCGGTAGGCGACTTTAAATATTAGCGAACTATAGATTATAATAGTCAAATCGGTAGGGAGCGTATGTCTACGTCAAAGTATATGGCGTTAACCTCCTACTTCGTCGGGGAGGTGATGTTAAATAGGGTAGAAACTAACCTCCGCTCTCCATAAATACAATGATTCATCTTAAGATTGAAACGATTGCTAGGAGGCAGTTTATGCGGGGCACAGACCCCATAAAAAGTACCTGGGTGTATCCAAAGTTAATTTGGTAAAATTGTCGTAATTTTAATATATTATGACAGAAAAATATCGCCGCATTTTTTTTTCTTCTACTCAGCCTGCTTGCTTGTGCCATATTTGCTCTGGCTTTTTGCCTTGGCGGCCAGTAGGCTTCAACCCACCCCTAGGGAAGTA